TTCAAGTAAGCTTATTATAATCCTCTACCAAATTAACACCTTATAGAAACTGATAATTAATCTATGTCAACACCACTGTTACATCCTCTCCTGTTTCATAAGCCAAACATGCCAGGGTGTAGCTACACAAAATGAGACAATTTTGTGGTTGGAATATAATCAGAAAAATTTAGAACAGATATAGCATAGTGCACTCATTATACACTGACAAATGGGAATACTAGTAAAAACTGTTTTAGATGTATAAATCTTCTAGGGAGGTTATAACCCACATTGCACATAGGATACTGGATTTTCTTTTGTCTCAGACAGAAGTTGCGTGTCCCTTTTTTCTTCGGCCTATGCTTAAATCATAACCATCTGAATACCATTATATCATTTTTCAAATTAAACTTTTTTTTTATATTTTTAATATCATTTTCTTGATTTTGAAAAAAAATATAGAAACAATATTACACTTACCATAATTACTCTATTAGCAGCACATGCGCTTAGGTAAATTACAGGGATCTTCAATGGTCGAAATAAGTAATATTTTCATGATTTAGTATCCACAAATGTAATTTTAGAGCAAATATGGTATTGTATTGGATCATAATTATAATACAATTATTTATTTTGTGAAAGTACCAGGGGATCCATGAAGTTGTACATTCATGGTGGCATTCCCATTGTGGAGGGACTCTATAATTTTGTATGTACACAGCTTCCTATTTTGAGAGACAAAATCATGCAGCTGCATTGTTACATAACATTCTTTTGTCTCTTGTAGGAAGTTAAATCCCCCTATTGTTCTCAGAAATTAGGTTCCTAAGTACTGTCCTAGTCTCTCAAGAGACAAACTGTGTGTATATATGGCACAACCCCCTAATATATTCGGTTAGGAAACAATTTGATTTGATTTTATTCTGTTGTCTAGATGCATTTTTCAATATTGATATTTATTTCAATCAGAATGTACCGGGTATCATTTTTTGGAAGTATATCTGAGTTGCATAGGGGAGAAATTAACAAATCACAAGATTTCATTTTATCGACATTGCTATTTGTGAGGACAGAAATATGCCAGCATACACAGACACCACAAATTTTTGTTTCCAAAATTGGTTACAAAGTGTATTAATTAAAAACTGGTCATTGTAAGCTAATAGCAAACTGAATTATTTTTTGCAGATAATGACAATTTATAAAAAGGAAAAAACTATATATATGGGACAAAAGAAGTTGAAGAACCAGGATTTATGGACTTTAAAGGGGCACCTTCCAGTTAAGCCTAATCTCACAACAAATTTACTTTCTGGATTAAAATAACAATGGATAACAAAAGATAGATTAACATTGTAAACAACATAGACAATAGTGTCCCATGATTCTTTGGTGCAATCCATGGGATTGAGCGGTTCCTCTTTAAGGATGTATGCTACAAAATAAAAAACCCATGGAAAATCGTTTAAAATACTACAGGTGTACAGGACATGTTACTCTAAACTCATAGAAAAGAAAAAAAACATGGGGTTAATGTACTAATTTTTAAGATACACAACTCACAATTATGCTGAGTCAGCATTTTTAAGTAGCTTTCATAAATAACTTAAGTTGTCATTTATACTCGGTCTTAATCCACATTTTTACTGAAATTGGTTTTATCCTATAAGCACATATTATGAGTTCATATTTAAATTCAATTCTAATGAATTTAAGAAATTACCTATTTAAAGAAAACAATAGTTTCCTTCATTTGGTTTTGTATTTTAGATAAACAAATTCATAGAAACTGTCCTACAAAAAATTTCATCCATGGAAATCTCTTGAAATTGTGTATATGTTGAGTACTTATGAAGTTATTCCATATTATACATTGAAAATTGTATGCTAATGCACAACTTTTTGAGAAAAAAAATTAGTTTAATTGTCAGTTTCAATAATCTTGGTGGCCATGTTGGATCATTTACGTGACCTTTGCCAGTGCCCTTGTCAATATACATACCGGGGTACATCAAATATGGTCATGTACAT